GGGGGGTGGGGGGGGGGGGGTACTCATAGTCGTGCATGCCGTAGTCGTTAGACCATTGACCTCGCATCCCTACAAAGCCGGGACGGAGCACGCCGGGTTCTCACCGGACCAGGCTCTCACATCACCAAGCGCGAAGCACCGTGAGGTATTCGGCGAGTCGCATGAAGGGTGAGCTGCATCCTGCTAAGGGTGTTCGGCATCTTGTGCTTACTTCCTTGCGTACGGATGACAGCTGCGTATGACTTAATTTATTTTCTGGTGCGTTCACTTCCAGAGACAGTTATAAGCACTGTGTAGCTGCCTCGAGGATGCTTGACCATTTTAACACAACGTGGTGCGATCATCCGCCTTGCGCGTAGTGAGGTTTCTCCACCCCGCACAACATGATCTACTCGACCACCATTATGGTTACCGCCAAAAAAAAAAAACAGAGGTAAAAAAAAAAACGGTAACCTGGTTGCCGAGTTCACGAAGTGAATTGGCTTCTTTTACAACGTCGTTGCCAAGTGACGAAAACCCAATCCCGATGGCAAACACCGAGGGGGGGGCTTGTTTTACAACGTCGTTGCCAAGCGACGAAAACCCAACCCCGATGGCAAACACCGGGGGGGGCGGCTTGTTTTACAACGTCGTTGCCAAGCGACGAAAACCCAACCCCGATGGCAGAACACCGGGGGGGGGTGGGGGGAGATCAAACATTTCGGGATGCAAAATCAAAACTCTAGGGGTCTAGGGGGGGGGGGGTCCGTGGTTGAAAAACACACAAGGAACAAAATGACAGCAAACAAACACGATACCAGAAAAAATAAACACGTCGGCAATAAACTTCTGTATGACACATAACGGCACCGCTAAACCACGACCGACGACAACTTCAGTGATAACAACAACACCAACAACCCACACGCCCGTTTCGCCCTCACCGTTCGCCCAGAGGTCCTTGTAGAAATTGGCGGTGGCGTGCTCGAGCGTGGTGTCTGTGGCTGCCAACCTCTCGCGCAACACGGCGACTATGTAGTCCCGGGCGCCTTCGTGCTTCTCCATGGCGTTGGTCACTAGGGCCGGAAGCCCCTTCCCGAGGTACTCTTCTTTGCACTTGAGAGGGCCAAATCGTTGTCCTTTCTGGATTGGGGGGTGACGCCAAGAGGGGGGGGGGGGGGTTACTCATGTTTTTGCAACGTTTGACTGTCCTCGAGGGGACGGAGCGTTGCAGAGTGGGGGACGGGCGAGACAGGCAGGAAGGGAGGGCGAACGAGAGACAAAGATTCGGGGCCACCAAAAGGCAGGCTCAATCGAAACAGTGGGCCTCACACGGGCCGTTTCCTGGTCCGAGGTTGACTCATTGCCGTTTTCTCACACGATTGTCGTCAACATCGCAGATAGACGCGCAGGTATGCTTCGGAATGGAATCAGGTATCACCCCGGTGGGGAACAGGCTCAAAAGGAGAATATGGCGGCCGTTTCATGTGTCCGACTACACGCGTGTGTACATTCCTGAGAAGGTACAGCATGTAGGTGTAGGAGAGGAAGATGTTGGGAGGAGTCAAGTTGGAAGGAGTTCACATTTGCGAAGGCCATGATGGTCAGCAACTTGTGTGTTGCAACCAGCCACTATCGATCGGAATAATATCTAGACTTTTGTAGAGCGGAAACTCGCTCTCCAAGAGGGAAAGTCCTCTGTGTTTGTACGCATATTTTCAAAAAAGATCGTCCAAGAAAAAATTCAACAGGCAAGGGCTGTCTGATTTCTCAGTGTTTCGCGATTTGATTCAAATGATCCCGCGTCCAGCAAGTGCCCCCCATCTCCCTCTGCTGTAAAGATCAGGACTGCAACACATATATGCATCCTCTCGAACGGGGCATTGTTGGGAACGGTATGAATACACGCGTACCGTAGTCACAGCAGCAGTCGTTATGCTTCCACGAACTGAATCAAAGCGGCGGGGTTGGTGCATTACGTAATGCCGTCGTCTCCAGTCTCCACGACGCTGCGTGTTTCGGAGAAAGTCGCGCGAGTCCAATCGAGTTCGCCGTATCTAGCAATGCTGCCAGGCTGCTACAAGAAGGTCGTAAAACCGAGGGCTCGCGAATTCAAAATCTGGAAGCACGGCTACCTGCCCCGCCATTTTTTGGGCGCGTAATCCAGTTTTTTCAAGGCGTTTATTGTGTAGAATTTATTATGGGTATAGTAGAGTATATATTCCTTATTGTAACCTGGCAGGCTTTATGTACAGTACAGTAGTATAAAAACCATATATCGTCGTACTAAGACGTGTGTATGGGATTATGTGTATAACAATACGAAAGTATCACAGTCTAAAACCCCCCATGAAAAAGGTGTACTTCGAAGTAATACACGGTGTATTGGTTATATTATGCCAAACTAAATCATAGTTGAAACACCACATACGGCAGATAACAGCCCCCCCCGATCTCGTCCAGTTTGTGACAGTGCTTCCAGAATTTGAATCCGCGAGCCCTCTCGGTAAAACTGCTGTGCATCGCCTGGTACTGGAAAATTGCTGACTTGGCTGCAGAACGGTACGGGCCCGCAGCTAAGAAAAATTCTGATAAGAAAAATAGGCTCAATTTTTTACGAAAAATAAGGAAAAAGGGCTAAGAAACACAGGTCACTCTCGGTCACAACGTAAGAAACGTCCCAATAACAAACAAGGGGTAGCTGGAGGAGCGTGCCCAATAAGAACCGTCCCACCGCTGCTCCTTCATGTTTCCACCCCCCCTATCATGCTGAACAACAGTGCTTTCTTTTGGTAGGAGGGAGAGAGTGGTTACTTCGCCCCAACCAACGGCTAGTCTACACCGAGTTTCTTTCTGGTTCAGCGGCATGATGACCGTTTGTTGTGTGTGTTGTATTCTTTAGCCAAATAAGAAAATATACGAAGTGAGAAATAAGAGGATTGGGAGGATGCGACGTTCCAGAGGAAGAAGAACGCCTTTTAAGAAAACGGACGACTTCGGCTGGGTCCTTGGACCCGAAATAAGGGATTGAGGCTCGACCCAAACTCGCCGTTTCTTATCTCCGGGCCCGTACTGCATGAAAATTGTCCCCACATGTTTTGGGGACACTGCTCATCTTCGAATACTGAAGCCAAGTCACCCTTTGTCTGGCAAGGAGCTCAGATTCTCTGGACGGATTATGCATAGTAGCACACATATGCATACATAGGACAGATCAGATCCCTGCAGATCGAGCTATGCATATGCATATATGGTAGCTCTTTCGAGTGGTATGTCCCTCGTGATCGGGTATGACAAGGGCATTGGTGATCGATCGGTGTAACTTTTCCCGAGGTGATCTGAAGGACATACATGGTGATCGGGGTATGTTTGCGAGAGGTGATCTGAAGGGCATAGATGATCGGGGTATTAAGGAATAATAAAAACACACACAGAAAGACTACCCATTCGGGTATGTTTGTGAGAGGTAATTTGAGGACATACATAAGACTATCTATAGATTTGTAAAGTCTTCCTCACAGTCTCCAGATTTTTCCTGTGGCTGTAAGAATACCACGCACTGATTCTGTCCATCGTCGCGTCAGCTGTCGGGTAGAGTCGGGCTGTCGTGTCGAACAGCCCGACAGAAGACGTCAGCTTCAACCAAAAACGTACGCGGTGACAAGCTGTTTCTGATCTGATGTTGAACCCTGTGTCAACACAACATGCCAACAACATCAGCGGAGCGTTGGCGCGGCAGCTGTCAGATCTGAGATCGGCTGTGGAGCGAGCGCGTATGTATACGTGTGGGGAAAATGTAATACAGCAGCAGTAGCGTTCCCAGCGTACATGCAGAAAGGCGGTACAAACCGAAGCAATTCCAACTCGTTTTTTTTTTCTTTTAATATGACACAACGAATCCATCTATATCATAGAAAAGAGTCTGTTCAGGTCTGTCATGCCTGTCATACGGGGGAGGGAGATGTTCTGGACTGCTGTCTGTCTCATCATCTCGCCTCATGCCTACCGAATTCTCGAGACATCACGATGCTACGGTCACTACCTGATACTGTTCGCACGCTGGAAACCCACATGTATACATAGTTTGTTCTTCGTTGCCCTTTCGAGGGTGTGTGTGTCCTTATTATTAGCATCGACCGCGCTAACCGGCTGACCAATGAAAAAACGTCGGTCTTAGTGCGGTCGAAAACACAAAACACTTCTATCTGCCATGAACTGCGACCCCGTGAGGGGGCAGCATGGGGGAGGCTAAACTATCCTTCGGATCAAAGACAGAAACAGCAGCAGCAGAATAAAACTGGACGCGTCTACCAAGGCTATTACCTTGTACTCTAGTTCGTTTAGGAGTACAGAGACAGAAACAGCGGCAACAGAAGAAAACTGGACGCGTCTACCAAGGCTGTTACCTTGTACTCTAGTTCGTTTAGGAGTACTTTCACCATTATCCTGCTTGTTTTCGCTACCATCATTCTGATCCTCATCTTGACAAGAATCTCTGGATAGCTCTCCCCCTACGTTTCTTGTTTTGGGGAAGGTCATCTGTCTCAAACCCTTTGCTCTCTTCCACTCCTCCATGGTTTTCCTCCTCCATCGTCGTTCTCGGCTTCCTTTCTTCCCTTTCCCTTTCCTTCCCATGAGGCCATGATTGAGTCCGACTGCTGAATGAACTACACACAGTCAGCCCCAAGTATATATGTAGTTTCCAGCAGCAGTAGAGCAATGTATATGTCGTGGTAGTGTTAGCAGAGATGCTGAGTGTTGAGGCAACAGCACTGTCACTGCAGTTGCTGTACAGCTATTCCTTCAGCTGTGGCTACAAAGTAGCTGGCATGTGATGCGAGGTTAGGTAGGCAAACACACAGAGTGATATTATTATCCACACAGACGCCCAAGCTGTCTTCACCTGACGGTTACAGACTTGGCAACGCCTTCACAATACCGCATAAACCCATGCAGTAGAATAGAGTCGTTCTTGTACCGCAATTACTCCAACATGTCCTCTCAAGAACTACGTCATTCTAGTACCAATGCATCAGATCCAATTCTCTCTCAATGTCCTCTCGAAAACAATATCCATGTCCTCTCAAAACAATGCTATCTTAAGAACTTCTGACTCAATATCAATTGTTTTGCCTTTCTCAGCTGCGTTGCATCAGCAGCGATTTATTTTCCTTCGACACAAATCTCCCGAATTTTCTTCTAACATATACACACACATACACCATCCAACCCTCAAGACATAAAGTCTGATTACGAAGAAGAGGGGAGGTGATCAAACTCCTAACAGCATGCCACGGGCGCGGAGAAACTCCGACGGGTTTAGCCCTTTCGTAAAAATGTCCGCTTTCTGAAGCGACGTCGATATTTGCTTCACGTCTACGACTCCATCAGCTACCAGCGACCTTACGTGGTGAAACTTTACGTCAATGTGCTTCGTCCTTGGGGTGATACGGAAGCTACGAGTTAATTTTAGAGCTCCCGAGTTGTCCTCCCACACCACGGATGCTTCTTCCTGAGTCTGATTTATGGTGTCCAGCAGGTGGCGGAAGTACTTGATGATGTTGCACCCCTTCGACAAAGCCACGAACTCTGCTTCAACGGAAGAGGTCGCCACCACCGTCTGCTTGGATGATGTCCATTCCACCGGTCCACCAGCGAAGTACAACACGACTCCCGTGGTGGAGTAGCCCTTGTCTAGGTCGCCTGCAAAATCTGAGTCGACAAACGCCGTAATGACGTTTCCATCTCCGGCGTCCTCGCCGTAGCGTACACCGATTGATATCGTACCTTTCAGGTACCTGAGTACGCGTTTGAGTTTCTGCATCGCCCTCGGACCTGGTTTCGCCATACTCCGCGTCAGAACCATTACGGAGTGAGTAATGTCGGGCCTTGTGCACCTGCTGAGATATAGAAGCGAGCCTGTGGCGGAGCGGAAATATGTGGTATCCTCCGCTGACAGCACCTCGTCCTCCAAGACGGACACCGGTCCAGCCTCAGACGGAGATGTCGTCGGACGCGCGTCGGCCATGCCGAACTTGTCCAACACTGCGTTGGTATACGCTTCCTGTTCCAAAAGAATCGTCCCTGCGGCTCTGTCTCGGTTGATTCCCATACCGAGTAGGAATCTGGCTCCTCCCAGGTCCACCGTTTCGAAACGCTCATTCAGCTGATCGACTATGCTCAGCACTTTGTTCTCGCCCTCCCCGGTCAGCAGAATGTCATCCACATAAACGAGAAGGAGCACATCTCCGTCGTCCAGGATGTACAAGCACGGTTCAGCGGTGCTCTCAACAAATCCGATCTTCAGGAGAAAGTCGTGCAGAGTGCCCCACCAGCCTTTTGGGGAAAAACGCAACCCGTAAAGCCATGCTCTGAGCTTCCAGACTTGCCTGGCTCTCCCGCTGTCGCACGAGAATCCTTCCGGGGGAATGACGTACACTGGTTTCGATCTCGGTTCCATCCTCGCGTGGAGGAACGCCGTCCTGATGTCGGCTTGGCGAAGAACAAGTCCATTCTTGGCTGCATGCGCAACTATCAGATGGACGGCTTGGAGAGACGCTACCGGTGCAGCCTTGTCGGTTCCGGTCTCAGCTTCGTAAAATCCTTGCACTACGATTCTCGATTTCTGTCGCACAGCGATGCCGGCCTCGTTGTACTTCCATTTGTAGATGTATTTTGACGGGATGATTTGAGCATCGCACGGGGGATCGACCCACTCATAAACGTCGTGGTCTAGCAAGGAGCGATTCTCCTCCTCCATGCTTTTCATCCATCCAACAGCATCTGGTCCGTTGACCGCTGCGCGGTAGTTCGGTGGATCGGCGGGCATGTATCCTAGTTGGCCAGGTATCCCTTGACCAAGGTTCCCGATCTCACCTCCGATCACCAGCGCGTATTCCGTTTCGAACACCTGCTCCGTCGTAAACAGGTTCAGACGGTCCCGCGGCCTTGTCGTACGACCGCTTTTGCGCACCGCGGGTGGTTCTTCGTCCGGTCCGTCGTTCGTTTCTGCTAGTTCTGGTTCCTCGTCTTTTGTCTCGGCCCCAGTAGTGATGATGCCGGGCTGGAAAATCTGGCCTTGTTCGGGAAATGGGTCAGACCCGTGCATGGGGCGGGCGACGTCGCGGGCATCTACCTCGCGGAATGACACTTCAGCAGAGTTTGTAATTTTGAGTGGTTCCGCCGGGTCCCATAGCCGCCACGTCTTGCTGGTTGTATTGTATCCCACCATGTAATACTTCTTGGCCCTGGCAGAAAACGTATCGTTTCGCGAGCGAGCTTCTACGTGTTTAAACGCTACAGACCCCCACTCATGCATGTGCTTCAAGCTGCCGAGTGGTTTGTCCTCCCAAACCTCAAGTGGTGCTTTGCCGTCCAGGACGTCAGTAGGTGTGCGGTTCTTGATGTAAATGGCGGCCTTCACGGCTTCCGCCCACAGTTGACGCGGTAGGTGCGGAGCTCCAAGCATGAGACTACGTGCTGCACCGATGACGGTCCTGAAACCGCGTTCGGCGACAGCATTCCCTTGAGGGACCTCTGCTGTTGATATGGGGAAAGACAGGTTCCGGCTTCGCAGGGCCGGAGGAGCCGAAAGTAGATCCGTCTTCACCCCCTTCTCATCCAACGCTCCGACAGAAAATATGTTTGCTCCAAGGTCCCAGTGCACACATCTCCGTGCAGACCGCCGAGCCCGACGTCAGGAGGCCGGCACGCCGGCCAAAATGCAATGCACATATTTTCACATCCATCCGTTCGGCTACGGGCTTTCAACCCAAAAATCCAGAAACTAGTTCTTTTTGCAGCAAAAATCCTCCAGAGGAATCTCTTTAGAGTATCGATGAAAAAGCTCGTGGCGGTGTCAGCAGAGATGCAGAGCAGTGCACACATCCCCGTACAGACTGCCGAGCCAGAGGTCGGGAGGTCGGCATGCACATATACTCATCCATCCGCGCGGCTACGGGCTTTCAACCAAACAAAATCCAGAAAACCGTCGAAAATATTATAAGCTCGCGCCGACCTGCCGCGAATCCTTTGATTCGAATCTATGCGTTGGTATTTACTGCTGTCGTTTCTCTGCTGGTAGCGTTTTGCATGTTCTTGCATCACCCCTTGCCGCGGTGCTCTCTTTACCCCACTCCGGAGGGACGCCTTGTATGCATATATATGTATGCGATCTCGCGATCGGGGTAGTTTTCCCGAGAAAGGTGATCTGTACGACATCGGTGATGCGGAGAACGTTTCCAGACTCTCTCTCCCTTCAGTATGTAACGACTTGGTCAACGCAATGGTTGACGGTCGGAATACTTCTGAAGCGGGAACGACACGGAGGCAGCAGCAGTAGCAGCAGCAGCAGTGCAACAGCTACAGCAGCAGTGCATCAGCTACTGCAGAAGGGCAACAGCTACAGCAGCAGCGCAACAGCTACAGCAGCGGCAGCGCAAGATGTACAGCAGCAGCAGTGCAACAGGTAAAACCAAACCGCTGATTCTCCGTTTCACCTCCGAGCCCTTAGCCTACTTCCTTCCTTTCCTCCCTTGCCTGGCGGTCCAAGACCGTGTCCGGCTGATTGAAGAACCACTTCCCGGAAGCATGGTCCGTAATGGTGATGACCTTGAGGCCGGGATGGGCCTTGTAGATGGGCGCGCCGCCGTTCTTCTCCTTCATCTCCTTGCTGTGGCAGGGGACAAGCAACAACAGAATCGACGGCAGTGGACGGAACGGGGGTGCCGTGCATTTCTTTCAGCAGCAGCAGCAGCGCGCCCACAGCAGAACGAGCGTACCGCAGAGTAGGCACAACCTGCCCACACGAAAGCAGCACTTGCACCAACTCACCCAACAATCATCCTTCTTGCACTGCAGCCGCTGGACTGCTGGGCTCTCTGCAACATGTTACAACAACGCCTGCAGATGAAGAGACAAAAATCTCACAAGTAGGTGCCCGGCGTGGATGACCACTTCCCGGCCTCAAGGAAAGGCTGCAGGGAGAACCAGGCGTGGTGATCGCCCTGGGGCTCGAGGATCTCTGCGTTGTCCGTCATCTTTCCTACCGAAGACGTCGATGTTGTTGCTGCTGCTGAGGCGGGTAGGCGGGGGAATGGATGCGGTTGAGCTCGAGATCACAGAGGTCGGTCGGGATAACAAAGGCAACTGCGGGATTGCGGGCTGCAGATTCCAAATTCCAAATGCAGTAGGTGTCCCGATATAGTGCCGGTGTATACCTGGTATGTGTCGAGGCGATTTGGCCGGCACTATACCGGGCACCGGCACTATTCAGAATTGTGCCTGAATGGTGCCAAACCGGCACTATTCAGGTCCTTGAAAATCCCTCTATAGTGCCGGCTTGGCACTATTCAGGACTGTTCGACTTCAAGAGTGCAGCGCTTGCGCTTTGCCGGGCTGACAGAGTACCAGACGAACGGTATTTGGATCAATCGTGAGGTGGGCGACGTGGACGGTTCTTGAGGCTCTCGAGCGAGGCTCTTGGACTGTCGAAAACACGGCATTATTAGGGAAATGGACATAATAAGTGGGTATACCCACGCCATTCTCGGACAAAAAAAGTGAGTACAGTACTCGAATCCAGCGCGTGAGCCCTCCATAGGCGACCCCCAAACGACTAAAAACCCCATTCTTCTGACACCTGGGCGACACAGCCAGGGACCATACACAGCACGGACGGGCATCGATTTTTTCCCACTTTCAGGCACGCACACCTTTGGCCCTAGTACCGCCGAGGCGCGCAAGGCCTACTCACCAGACAGAGTGCCCACTTCCGTCCGACATCGCGGTGGGTAGTATATAGTCTACCCAGCGGCGTCAACAATTTTTTTCATGTACCCACTTGTGTCTGTATGTTGACCCACTTTTTTTGTCCAAATAAATTGTACCCACTTTTTTTGTCCACTTACGGACGGCGGAAATCGAGCGGAAATCGACCTCCACGTCACCGCACGGCAGAACACCGAATAGCCTCGGAACGTCTCAGAACCTTCCAACACCGTATCCATGGCATCTTTCCACATTCATGGCTGCCGACTGCGGACCGACCGCGGGATATCGGGTCGGATTTGCACTTCGTAGAAGTATACATACATGTAGTGTGTATGTAGTGCATATCGCTAGCGCTGCACGCAGTCCGCCCCGAGAGCGCGCGGCACGCTGGGAGGGCCCTCGCAACACAGGGCTATCGGTAGGTGCAAGTCTCGCTTCGAGGCGAGGTCAACGCGCGGAGAATTTCGCAAAAAAGGGGCTCTATAGGCTCACGAGAACATCAGGATTGCCTTTCCTGATCTCGTGAGCCCTCAGCCCGGAGGAAATCCGTCTATAGGTCTATAAAGGCCCTCTTTTCTTAACATGACGTAGTTGCGTGGTAAACTGCCTCGACATGCTGTGTTGCTGCCCTCACGAGCCGGTGTGCACTCGCTATGGTGGTTGGTGTTTTCCGTGTGTGTGGGGCGTGTGTTTGTCTGACAGGTGTTGCTGCTGTATGCTGCGCGTCTTTTTGTTATGTATGCGCGCCGGTTGGTTTTGTTGTCCGCTGTGTGTCACGCATTTATTTGTGGCGTGCCGTTACAAGTGCTCTGCTTTCCGGCCTTGCCGCGGGTATCTTCCCGTGCCGATACGGAAAGGGGTCTGGCATGTTTCTGACATGTATGTTCCTCCTCCGTGGTCGGTCCGCAGTCGGCAGCCATGGATAGGAAAGATGCCATGGATACGGTGTTGGGAGGTTATGAGATATTCCGAGGCTGTTCGATGTTTTTCCGTGCGGTGACGCGGAGGTCGATTTCCGCTCGATTTCCGCCGTCTTCGGATAAAAGTGGGTATACGTACTACAGTGGGGGGCCCTCTATAGTGCCGGTTGAATAGTGCCAACTGCCGGTATAGTGCCGGTAAAATCTCTCCACACAGAAAGCGCCCTCAATAGTGCCAAACGGCACTATTGAGGGCGGGCCTGGTATAGTGCCGGTTGGGCACCACGTCAGCCCGCAATAGTGCCGGTTCACACACGCACGCACACACACCACCACACTCCCAAAATACAGACACCGTGCTGCTGCAGTCCAACACAGCTCTACGCAGAGGCGCACCATGCCGTGTGCGGAAGGTGAACTGTGCTTTCAACAGAACAGAACGCCGAAGGCCCCTCATGGCCACGTCTGCAAGGGAGGATGTGGCGGGCGGCTCCATGGCACTTGCGGCAGCGTGGAGGGTGACTTCGAAACATCCCGCATCTGCAGTTCTTGCGTCGCTGCTAAGACTGGCAAGCGCAAAGCGACCGCAGCTGGGGTTGATGCTGGGGCGGGACCATCTAAACGTCCGACAGAGAAAGGGGGGGGGAAGAAGGCTTCTCGTGCGCGGCTGAGCAACGCTGACAAGGTTGAGGTCCTCAAGCTGCTGGATGCCAAGATTTCTCATGAGCAGATAGCAGATCGCTTTAAGTGCTCGGAACGGCTGGTCCGCAAGGTGAAAGCTGAACGGAAGGAAGTGGAGGCTAAGGCAGCTGCAGGCGACGGAAGCCAGAAAACCGCACGCAGAGGAGACTTTCCGGAGGTAGGTAGAGTACACGACATGCCTAGCAATTTCCTCTCGAACGTTGTTTTTCCCCCCCATTTTCAAAAATGCCCTCATGTCGCCGATTTCTACTGCTGTACCTTTTTTTTTTTTGCCCTTCCTTGTTTCTTTGCCTTTCCCTTTTCGTCTTTTCGTATGTATCATATCGTGTTTTTTTTTTTCATGTCACCTCCTTTTTTTCTTTCTCTTTGCCTTTTTTTGTTATGTCTTTGGCCTTTGAGGTCCTCGATGTCCACACTCATAGACCTTCCGATTATTTGTCCTTGAAATTGAAAGAGCACTGTTGTGTACATATTCGCACCCGCTTTTTTTTCAAAACAAACAAGCAGATGTAAGCAGATGTAGCCTGTACGAGCGTCTCCTCGCAACTTTCCCTTTTCCCTCCCGCAATTTTTTCTTTCCGGGTGTAGTGGCACTTAAAAAACATCAGCTTTGTTTACGGTGTACCGCGGCGTCGTCCCACGTATCTGCGCCGCGCAGCGTAGATGCTTACGTTTGAAACTAACCGTTGGTCGCTTGAACCTCTGCATTGTATACTCTTTTTCGCCGGCAGGTGGATGAGATAGTTATTGATCTGCTCGATAAAGTCCGGAAGGCCAAGATGCCCGTCACACGGGACGTACTTCGAAGCTTCGGCCGTTCCACCGTGGCAACCCTGCTCGCTGAGCCCGCTACTTCTGCAGCAGTGAGGGCGAGGGTCGAGGACTTCAAGGCCGGTGAAAAGTGGGCCAAGAACTTCGTGAAGCGCAACAAGGTGCTGAGTGCGAGACTTCATGGCGAGGCTGGTAGTGTCGACCCAGCGGCCATCGAGAAGGGCATGGAGGAAGTCAGGAGCCTTTGCGCGAAGTACCCAGCTACATGAGGACACGGGGGGCGGCCGCCGCGCCCCACCGGCTTACGGTGAACTGTCTTCTCACTTCGGCGTCCTGGAGGTGGCCGCGCGGGAGAGTGGAAACGGGGACGCTGCGTTCCACCTATCGAAAGCGAAGATGGCGATGATCGCGGCGCATGCCGCTAAGGGCGTGCGCCAGACAGACATGAGAGAGTTTGTTGATGAGTGAGGGGGGGACAGCTATACCGCAGTTTTTTTCTTTTTGTTTTGTTTTATTTTTGTCCGCTTCGTTGCTGGCGCGTTTATTGGTTTTGTTGGCGTGTCTCATCACGCAACATCGTAGGGAGGCAGCGAGGAACGTGATATTTTTTCAAGTATACTAAGTTGCACGGACGGGAGCTGTACACGGGGTTTGGCTCCGAAGGTGAATTCTGCGCGTGCATGTGGGAATGGTTTCGCGGCAAACTCAGCTATCAGAGTGGAACCCACGTTTGTCTCAGAAAAGGCTGCCCCTGCCGCCCACAAAGTATATTCACCACACTCGATCCACATGCTACTCTGTTGGCCTCGCAAATGGTAAGCGATACACCATGAACTCAAACAGCAGTGCCTCAGTAGTGCCAGACCGGCACTACTGAGGGATATCGATCACCCGAATAGTGCCGTTTGGCACTATTGAGGCACTATTCCCAGTTGTGCCGGTGCCCGCTATAGTGCCGGTGAACGCCCTGCGCACGTACCGGCACTATAGAGGGCCCCCCACTGTACGTTACTCTAGTCCGTGCACAACAGAACAAAAAAAAAAATCCCGGCACAAATGACAACTTTTCTCTGCACACAGATGGATGGTTGTTCCGACATCTGAAAGTACCGGCAAACGCCCTGTTTCCAGGCGTGCGTATGGAGTGACGGAAAGTTTTTTTTTCTTGACTTTTTATCGGCACAAAATCGGGAAAACTTGAATTATTTTTCCAGGGGTGGGTGTGTTCTTTGCCGATTTACAAAAACTCTACAGATCTAACCGCGTCTCGCAATTTGCCAGGTCGGTTGTTTTTTTTCCGAAATGTTGTGAATTGACGGAGATATCGCTCAAAAATCGACTGTAGAGCATCAGTTTGAATTATTTTTTGGGTGATAACTAACCGACCGATTTCAAAATACACAGCGGCAATCGATTCCTCTCCTCAGTATCTCGGTCGGTATTGCTGGGTTTTGTTGGGAAAAATCTGGTTTCCGAGATATTCCACATTTTGTTGTGCCGTCCCAATGGGAGATTTGTTTTGGATGGGGCAACACGCACGCACGCACGCACACACAACACGCACACGTTGCGGCCCAAAACACGAAGAAACACGCACGCAAGCACCATGGGGGAGCCTGTGTAGGGGACGGGCTAAGAAGAAGAAGTTCGGCAGCCGCGGAGCCGATAGTTGGGCGATTTCGAAGAAGCCGAAGCCGGCATTGCAACATGATCTTCCATCTCCCGGCGCTGATGACGCGCTCTCGGATGTGGCCACGACGGCGCATTTTTGATGGACGGACGTGGCCGAGAACGCTGCGTCGTGGTGTGTTTTTTTTAAGTTCGCGGTAGCTTTGCCGAATTGTTGTCCGCCTTGTGGATGTTTCTGTTTCTTTCATGTTGGCCTTCTACTTTTTCAGCACTCTCTCCCTTACAATTGACTGCCCCCGAGTGTTTGTATAGTTTTAGGTACTACATGTATGTCATACATGGACCCGTCAATGTTCATATTTTGTGCCTTTTAACGTCCAACGGTGTTGTCGATCATGCGTCTGCGTGGTATCTGTACAAATGCTAGCATATGTGTGGTGTCCGTAATGTACGATATAAAGCAGGTACGTAGAGGGTGAGGGGGGGCTTCGGGGGTACGGTCGGGAGTTCCGTGAATGCAGAGGGGATGTATGTCGTGTTCAGGGGGTTCCGTGTATGATTTTTGTCAAAAGCGAAAGATTGACTGACGAAGTAAGGGAAATCTGTGTTTTGTGAGAAGCGGCAGAAATAAACCGTTGGCCAATCAGAAAGCAGGAAGCGGACGAGCGTGTTGATTCCTGTTTTCAGTATATACTCGCTTCGCCGTGTTTAACCGGGGGCGAGCGAGAGCACGTGTGTGTGCTTGTGGTGGCCAAGGGTTGTTTCTGCCGTGACGTTTCTTTTTTCCACCCACCCACCCTTGCTTTTGGGGGTGTCAGTGGACATGGAAATCGGAGCGGCGGCGTTGTGTCCAATGTGATTGCCTGTCGGGGGGATTCACTGTGTAGCCGCAGTCGGGGTCGCGTGTGCCTATGCTGGGCGCGGTTCCGAGGTGCTCGTCCCATTTCAATTTTATGCAGCTATCGACGTATCTCGACGAGGCGGTCACGACTGACTATCGTTGTTTCACGTTCCAATTATAAAAAAAAAAAAGTTATCGCACAAAACGTGAACGCACAAATTGTTGTGCACGGACCGTACAATTTGGACCAAAGTGGGTCAAAATACAGACACAAGTGGGTACGTGCATGAAAAAATTAGTTGACGCCGCTGGATATATACCCACCGCGATGTCAGACAGAAGAAGTGGGCACTCTGGTGAGGCCTTGCGCGCCTCGGCGGTACTAGGGCCAAAGGTGTGCCTGAAAGTGGGAAAAAATCGATACCCGTGCTGCTGTGTACATGTGGTCCCTGGCTGTGTCACCCAGGTGTCAGAATGGGGGTGGTTTTAGTTGTTTGGGGGTCGCCTGTGGAGGGCGCGCGCGCTGGATTTTCGAGTACCCACTTTTGTCCGAGAATGGCGTGGGTATATCCACTTTTGTCCATTTCCCTTTAAATGAACTTGAATGACCAGATAGGTTTGTTGCACGGTAGTTGTTCTCTTCCCACCTCAGCGCAAGCACTCGCCAGTAAAACGTTGCTGCTGCCTTTCAACCGTAGATCGTGCTGCCCGATAAAAGTTCACCTCGCTATCAAATTATTATGTGTTGTATTGCAAGAAGGCCGTAGCACTATTCAGGCAACCTCAAAGGCATCCCTGGACAGCGAAAGAAAGACGCTCATGCACGCACCCGATGTATATTTGGAGGTAAAACATGGATGAATGTAGTGCTCCTTATGTGACGAGATGTGACGATCTCTGACGCGGGTTCGCGGCGTTATGTGCAGAAGAAGATTCGGCAACCGATGGAATAATGCCGAAATCTGCGATGTCCGGAGATGTGCGATAGGTACGCTGAGATGTGCCAAAATTGTCGATGCTACAATAATTGTCGATTGCATGGCGATAGCTGTGTCGGGCGACGCGCGGATTTGCTGGAGTGGTCCTCATCAATGGCGTCAAGCGTTCGCTGAAAAAAAGCGTAGTGTCGTGTTCAGGTGTGGCGCGTGTGGCGATAGACTCGTTTTCTACAACAACAGCAGAAGTTGGGGCGATGGCAACATTGTGTTCTGCCGTTTCACTTGTGGTCACGTTGTGGGAAATGCCGATCGTAGGCCCTTCACCAGGAAAAGACATATCTGAACTTTGCAGAGTGTGTGCTTGTGCGGCGAGCATGGTGTCGCGTGAATCAGCTTGTCGGACAGTGAAGTATCATTGGTGGCTAGTGTACTAGTGTCGAAGGGTGTTTGGTGTGTATCACGAGGCACGGAGGTGCTGGGTGAAACAGGAGATCAATTGCGTGTTCGACCAAAGACCCTAAAGATGAGGCTGGTTGCTGCAGCAAGGAGTGTACTTGGGTGGCGTCCGTGGAGGTAGCGGGATGTGCCAAAACCGGGGAGTTGTTGCCACTAGAAGCAGAGCCACGTGGAGCACTATTGGTGCCGCGTGGGCTGGCTGCGAATGAGTCGCCGCCGCCTGTGAGTGCTGCCATGATGGCGAGTTCAAGCTTAGGAAAGAGAGAGATAGACTATCTATGTCTACCGAAGGAATCCCACAGCAGAATATTTTTTCCACTGCACCCGAAACGAAAACTAAAAAGTTGAAGCGACTCACGTTCGAATCCAAGACGAGGCCAAATGTGACGAGATGCGACGATCTCTGACGCGGGTTCAGCTAGTCCGACCACTGTGTGCAGGTTGGAGCCGCTTCGCTTGTTCGGCCTGTCAGTCTGTTTCCTTCCTGATCCTTCCTTTCTCTCTCAATCGCTCGCTGTCGCTCACTCCCAGGCAACACCAGGCAGGGAACACCAGGCAAGACACTGAGCAAGGTGGAACGCTTGTACATCGCTTGCTACGGCCAGTAACCATTGTACTGCTACCTGCCTAAAGTCCGAATACTAGGAATCTGGGCAGTGCAGGTGGTCGGGATATTCCTGAAATATATACCCGCCCAGATGGTATCTTAGTCCAAGGGTCCAAATACCGTAACACTTACATGAGCACACAAAATAAAGCAGATGCACCCGAAAAAAGGGGCGAAGAAGATAACGAACTCCCCTGTTCCTTCGATAAAAAGCTAGAAAGAAGACCAAGCCTTCAGAGCAAGAAAAACGACTGGCCAACCAAAAGACGTCAGTCTCAGTGCGATCAAAAGCAGAAAATATTTGTTTCTCAAGGCCGTGAGAGGGTGTCATGGAGGAGGCTGAGCTATATATATAATGTTCAGGGTGGGCTAGTAAGGGGTGTGGCTGCTAGCATGAATAGGGTACATATTATTGTTGATAGGATGTGGGTCGGTGCCAGGAGGTATACCCTTCAGACCCCTACCCCCTTAGAATTGTCTATTCTGTGTACCCCCTGAGATGAAGTTGTATCCCCACTTCATCTCAGACCCTTGCTGATCGTCTCTCAGCAATAGCATGCAACTTTGCCATCTCAACGTGGTCGTGGACAAGAGTGTCGACGACAGAACCTTCATCTATCTCTAGGAGCGGCTTCACCTCCTTTAAAGTACCCATTCGAGATATACCCACAGCAGTCGAACGGGATGTGGTGGAGTCTTTTCAGTGAGTGAAGGAAAACCGGTTGGGTACTGGACTTATTTGAGTCACACTGATGATTTGTATCAGTGATGCCAGCTGGTGCTAGTACAAAAACATCTGTACGTAGTTACTTACATTTTACAATACATCCCCTGTAGTTCTCTACCGGGTCAACGACAAAATATCGGGGAGAATCCCTCCGTTAGGTCGTGTATTGTAAAATGTAACCTTCACAGGGGACACGGCGCAGTGTCTACTGACACAGCTTGCTGGTTTGTTAGATTTTCGGAATAATATTGTAAAATATCATGGAAGATGGAACCAAGGCTACTACTGCAGTACATCACTCGTTTTTCAAATCTACAGATTTATACTTCATACTTCTTGGCGAAGAATGGGGCTGGGGGTGGTTTCGGCTGGGACGGCTGGGACAGCAGCGGAGTGGTCTGCGCGCTACGCGTTGTTGACAGCAGTATTGTAGCAGATTCGACGGAGGAAGCGCCTCCCGCTTGAAGGAGCACCATGGACTTCAGTTTTCGTACATTACCACACAAATGTGTAAGTGCGCCAATTGCCGACAAGGCAGCAAGAGCCTAGAAGATGCCTGCTGGTGAACCTGTCACTCTTGTCTTTCCGAGATATTCTGATGGAGGTCTACACTTATATGCATACGCGGTCGGATGTCCGAATGCGTAACGGCGAGAGGGCGCTGGAGAGGGTTTAGGCTTGGAACCAACGCCCGACCTGGCCCGACCAATCAGAAGGGCGTGATACCGGTTAGATAGGAAGAGTCACAATCTGAAAAAGTTCTAGAATTACTCCGGTGCTGTTCTGATGTTCCACGTATCCCGAACCATTAAATGCCGTCGGAACCAGGGGGAACTCCCGCCACGGCTGTTTGAGCCAAATTCACGCCCGTCGCCGCACCATGTTTGCAAGCTGACAGAGGGCGAAGCGGAGTACGGGATAAAGTAAACATAGGCGCAATGTCGATGTTTCGACAGGTGCTTTCGAGAGATCCGGGTCAACCTCCATCCGGCATTCAAGGAAACGTGAGTTCACGCCATGCGTCGATCCCCCTCCCTTGTAGCAGTGATAGATACAGCACAGCAACAGAGAGCTGAAAGTGAGGCTCATCTCGGGCTGGCTCTCTCTGCGTGCGATATGCCACCTCGACCATCCACTGCCTTCAATTGATTTCTCTCTTATATTGAAAGACAGGCAATCGTCACACCTTTCAGTTTCCCCCGCTGATCCATTTCTGCATCGTTCGGGGTCTCGTTCCTACGATAGATAACGGACCTACCGCAGCAGTAGATGGGGTTAGGGTTGAGGATTGTTTTTCGTGAATCGCCACAACAGTTGGTGTTGTTGTAGCAGCCATTTCCGGGAAGCAGAGGTAACCGATGCCACCGGCGCAGACGGATGAATTGCCTAGGAACACTCTGTCGGGTGTCACCGGCAAGCGCCACGGCGGCATAACACCCCTGCTGTATGCATACGACCTTCCATCTCGCTGTGCGCTGTGTGCCTCAAAACGGGATTCCAGCGTGGTACACGTTTGGTGCATGCACGCGGGCAAGGCTCACAGAGCACAAGAACAAACACACCGCAGCGTGACATTCGCAACGGAAACAGTGCGCAACCGTAAAAGAGGCGGTAGCCCAGCCGTCTTTCAGGCAGATGTGGCAGCGCCTAATTTAAATAATGAAGCAGATACGTGGGGTCTACAGTACACCCAATCCCAAAGGGCGCTGAACATGAACTGCCAGCTTCGGGTACATGAGCGTTGGTGACGCCCTGCTTTCGTGGTGTTTCGTGCACGCTAGGCCTGTGCAATAGGTTGGAGCTGCGAAGGGAGACTAGCCACGGCAACCACGTCAGGCGAGGTTCTCTTGGCAGACGTGGACAGTCACGGCAACGCCAGGTGCGTGTCTAGCCGAAGAAATGTACCTTGACCGCAGGAAAGCAAAAGTTGTTGACTGCCCTTTTATTGTACGCTGGGTGCGCGTGTTTTCCACGCCGACTGACATGACGTGTGTCCTACGGAGCCTACGTTGAAATGTTGAGTGCCGTCCCGTCATCTCGCTCGCCTTCTTTTGCCATAGAAGTATGATATCTTCGCAATATGTACCAAGCTGATTTCCCCCCATAGTATTTCCACGTTGCACCGATCTCTGGCCGTCTGGTGTTTAGTGTTTAGCTCTTGCCCTAGCAACAGTTCGCTCCCCTCTCAATTTGTATTCTTTTTTCACCGTATTTTCATGTCGTGGAAGATATGTTCGAGACACCGGCATCTTTTGCCCTTGATTCCTCCCTTGTACAGTTTCATTTCATGTTTATGATTGTTGTGGCGCTACGCATGTGCGCCGTCGCTGGTTTCTACGATCTACCCGCGCGGTGCACGGCTGTCAAGCAGCTCTTGGTTGGCACTGAGGCCTTTGTGTCGTACATTTTGATTTTTGCAACTTGATGCTTGAAGAGATGGCAACGCCACCACCCCCCGACGCCAACACCAACATCACCGGCAATCGAATACTACACCCAACACCACCCCCATTCGACGCGATTTTACGGTGAACCCATCCAAAGGGTCAAGTCAAGCTTTGTGGCGCATGGGTCGAAGGACGGAACCGAGGCGCTCGCGTGGCACCCTTCAGACAGGAACCAACTGGCGACCTGCTCAGTCGACAAGTCCTTAAAGGTGCGTGGAGGGTTTACTCACGACCTGAACGCACGCTGGTACCGCGGTCACCATGCCTTGGGTTCCTGATGCTATCCTTCTGGTGCTTGTTGGCTGCAGCCTCGTTGCCCGTTCCCCCGTACAAGAGGCGGGCAGGAGGTGGAGGCGCTACCAACGAGATAGGGAAGATTTTTTGTCCTGGTTCGACGCGCAAGCGCGGGCACGTGTCCGGTAGCTCTCCGATTTCCCTTGTCCCCCCTGACGTGGCCTGGTATTGTTGTGGTGTTGTATTTGGGTGACTCTGTTTGGTGCCCTCTGGTTTCACTTCTTCCCCGAATGTGATCCTGCTGCGCTCTTGACTGCCGGTTCGACGGCGGCGGTTGGAGGAAGGTATGGGATGTGCGATCGACGAACAGAGCGGTCCAGGAGCACACCTCCGACGGGGAGAACCTCAACGTCAACTACAGTCCCGATGGCCACTACATCGCCATGGGGTGAGCGAGTGAAGAAGAGCGTAGTGCCAGCACGGGGATGTGGTGTCAGTATTGTGTTCGGGGGCGTGTCACAAGCAGAGGCTTGACCTTCTCCACGTATCTCTTTCTTGCCACATCAGTATCACGCATACACCATGCATACACACACAAGCAACACACATACATGCGTTACATGTACCACAGCTTGAGACTTGACGGCCACGCATGACAATCGGAGTGGTGCACTAGACTGGTCGGCACCGCAGCTGCCTGCTTTGCTGTTTACCCTACGCTTGAGTTCCTATCAGTCAGATTCATTTTTCCGCCCGTTACGCTGCCGCTCGTGTGCTGTCAAGATTAGTCGTCGTTTGAGGGGCGAATGGGATCTCCTGTTCCCCCCACCTTCCAATGTGCTGCTCAAGCGCTGGCAATTTCTTTTTCTCTTGGTGGGTCCCGTTCGGTGAATAATTGGTTCTGTTTTTGTCCCTAGAACCACTGTTTGTGGTGAAATATCACTATTTACCTCATTCCCTAGGGTCACGAAGAGGGCGTAAGATGTTGCTGTCTTCAATTTCTTGCCACTCACACACGGCGTTTCTCTTTCCTTGCATTTTTTTTTGTGTGCGATTGCGCGTCAGGAGCTCCAAGAAAGAAAGGAACACGGAAACGGACATCCTCGGCATCTACGACATGCGCACCAAGAAAAAACTAAAATCGGTGAGCGCTGTAGTAGTGCAATTAATCGCACATCCGGTGCTCTTTCTGGATCTATCGTGAAACATGTGAAACGTGGCTGAATCTTGCACATCCGGTGAGGCAGCGCACCTTCAATTTTCTCTTGGAGGCTGTACATCGACTAGACATGTGTTGGGATAGCCTCAACTAAGGATATCACAATTTTGGACGATTTTTGTAGGTAAAGCTGTCCCGTGCACAGTAGTGCAGCCATATTCCGGCCACTTTTGCACTCCTTCGCCTTCGAAGTAGGGTGGGGGGGGTTGTTGTTGTTGGCGCACGGTACTTCAATAGATCCGCGTTTCGTCCAAGATACCCACACGCCTCGCGATACACTGCCAACACGACCACTCCTACCCCGCCCCGTCTCTAAGCCTTACCTTAGCCCATACCTATGGCTTGCCCGACTCTGGGGAGGCAAGTCGGGCAGAGAGGCAATTTTTTTGCCTGTCACAACAAAGATGGACATTTTATTCCGCAATGTCCGACACCGAAAATTGGCCCGTGCTCGTGGCTGATGTATGAGCGGGTACCAGGTGCGTCATCAGCTGGGGCCACATCGCGATCGCCGAACTCCTTCCATCCGCTCAACCCTTTGCTGTGCCATCACGCAGCCATTTTTCTCACTGTCTTAACCCAAGATAGCTCAATCACCATCGACTTTTTCCGGCCTATTTTACCTCCTCAGGTAAACGGGGGCCGTTGTCCCATGTACACGTTTTTCTTTTTTGCGCTGACTTTTTTGCCGGTGGTTGGTTTCCACATCACACTTCTTCGGATGAGGGCCCGAGAGGGACGAGTTCAAACTTGCGGTTGAACAAAAGAATCAAACGGAACTTGTTCAATGTGAGCGTGAACAATGGAAGCATGAGGAAATTCCTTACCCGTAGTTGTTGCCTGGTTCAAACCGATCCAATTCTACCGGGCCCTACCATGCCCAGCCTATGTAACCCAAGCTAAGTACCCCACCCCAATCATGTCCAACCCTTCATGCCCCTCCCGCGTGTTTTTCTATGGTTGCCTCCCCCCCCCCCCCTGGCTTTTGTTTTTCTCGAACCGCGTCAGGTGAAATTCACCATCCTAGCGCACGACTATAAGTGGTCACCGAACGGGGAATACCTCATCAACGCGACCGAAACGGGTTCAATAGATGTGAGAGGGTTTCGGCTCGGACTGAAAAGAAGATAACATACACTAGAGAACATCCGAAGGGGCTGGTTGGACCGGTTTATCGTCAATGCTGCTGTTGTTGGGTTCGTTTTTTCTCTCTGTTGTTGGTGGTGGTGGTGGTAGTGATAACCGTCGCGTCGTGGCATTTGGAAGCGCAGAGTTGTCCTACGCTGATGAATCCGAATGATCCCGGGCGGCTCTGTGGTGACAGGCTGATACACCAAGAAGCAATACGCACTAAGAGTAACGGCAGAGAGGCTGTGGACGAGTGCGGTGATCAGAAGACAACGGGGGATACAAGACGTGATCATAGAGGATAAATACTGGACGAAGACGTCTCAACGTAGTCCCGACGCTACAGAACAGAAGCAGCAACGAGAGTACCGTGGTGTCGCGTGACGTTGTCGCGTGACGTGGTCACGCAATAATTTTCCGAGAATTTTCCTGGGCATCGAGCGCTGCTGTGCCAAGAAAAGCATCGGCATGGTGCAGTGTGACACGAAACAACATCGTATGGATTATTCGACGAACTTTTTGGAATATTCGGATTTTGGGTGATGCTTTTGCTCCTTTTCTCTTTTCTCTTTTCCTTTTTCCAAAGGTGATGGCGTTCGGGTCAACGAAGCCCTTGTCTCGTGTACGGTCGACCAAACTCGCCCACACGGCGCCGTGCAAAGCGCTTGCTATCGACCCGTTCAACAGGTGATAATTTGTGTCGGTTGTTGTTGTTATTGTTGTTGTTGCCGTTTGTTTTGGCGTTTAAGTATCGTGCAGGCCCTGGCTCCAGGGAGAGAGAGAGAGAGAGAGAGAGAGAGAGAGAGAGAGAGAGAGAGAGAGAGGTGTCCCCTTCTCTAGCTACAGACGAGAGATTTAATTTTTTGCGTATACTCCAAGAACCTCGCATATTGCCGCCAAGTCGGTAGGGCATGTACCGTTGCGCCTCTGTCTATCCACCCGCCTGCTTTGGGGGGCCTAGCCCTTTTGTGTACGTGTGCTTTCATGTTCGTTTTGAGGCGCCATCTTTCGCGTCTTCACCTCCGTGCGTCCCACCGCATCTCCTAGCGCCCATGGACGCGTCACCCTGCCTCTCTTCCTGCATCTTCATCTTCGTCCTAGACAGTAGTACGAACCTTGCATGTCACTCGCCGCGCAAGCTGCTAGGTTGAGCGTGTCGGACATCCCCCCCCTCTGTCTGCCCACCCTGTTCAGGCCTCTCCCTCCTCACATCGTATGAGCTCTCCACCACTCACCCACTGGGGACTGCCGGCATGTAGTCCCCCTCCGGTTGCGTGCATGTCTTGCCCCATGTAGAATCGTTGTTGTACATACCCAAACATGTCGGCAATCCGCCGCGGCTCTGAGGCGCCCCTTCCCCCCCCGCGCTCGCGTGGGCAGGTACTTGGCGAGCGGCGGGGACGACGGGCTGGTGTCGCTCTGGGAGCTGGACGACTTTGTCTGCGTGCGGACCATCGCGTGCGAGTGAGTTTCGGACGTCGTCGACTTTCATGTTCTTGTCATTGTTCTTGTTCTTGTTCTTGTTGCTGTTCATGTTGTTGCTGCTGTTGGTATTCTTGTTGTTGTTGTTCCTGTTCTTGTTGGTGTTGCTGTGGTGGTGGTGGTGGTGGTGGTGGTTGTTGCTGTTGTTGCGTTGTTGTTGTCGTTGTTTGGTCTTCTTCATCGCTCAGGAGTTGGTGGTGGCTTCCTACGCACAGCACTTACATCGTCCCGCATTTTTTTTCGTTTTCGCTCACTCCCCTACATGAATTTTCCTGCCGCGGTGATCAGGGGAGAGGTGCGATCTCTTAGCTTCACCCCGGACGGAAGGTTCATCGCCATCAGCATGTCGGGCGTTGGCGTAGAAATCGTGAGTTGCTGAAGCAGATGCCCTGCTTGCTTGCGGCAGAATCTGATTTGGAGTGCTTCTCCTACGGGTGCGGTGTGTGACACTCTTGCTGGAAGGATCTGCGCGCATGTTCTGCGGATGATTGTTTTGCTCCAGAAGCGCCAATGTCGCCCACGCCGATAACGTCTGACCGACCCAAATCAACCACACACGCCCAGGCGGCTTAGCAACGTATCCTTCGCCTTTCTTCGCAGCAAGCCTTCCTTCCTTGTGCAAGCTTCGCGGGTTCCTCCGCATCCCGGTTCCTATACCCTTGGCAGGCGATCTTGTTGACAGCCATGCATGTCATCCACTCACGCGCGCACCCCCCCTCCCCCTTGATCCTAACGTTCTACCTGCCACACCCGCCGTCCGCCCTTCCTCGCATGGAACTCCGCGCGGTGTCTGCCTGCATTGTTTTTTCCTTTGGTTTTTCGCTCCGCTCCGCGCGGCGCCCGATCCATCGACGACATTAGGCGGAAGTCGAGACAGCGGCCTCCGCACACTCGTTACCCGGGGCGAAATCTCAGGCCGTCGAGTTCCACCCGAAGCGGCCGCTACTGGCCGGGATTGCCAGTCGCCCTAGCCGGGGGGACTTCGGTCTCCGCTTGTGGTCGTTCGTTTGCTGAACCGTGTTCAGAACCAACTGAGATGGACCGTTTTAGTATCAAGTCTAACGGGGGTTAGTTGGCGTCCAGAATGGGTCTTGGCTTGTTTCGTATTTGGACGGAACCGGGCCTCGGTTGGCGTCCAGGCCCGACCTGGAAAGGGTTCTGGTTTGCGTTGAAAACCTCTGGTAAAGGGCTGATTCGCGATTTTGTCATTCTGCTCGCCAGCCCCCTTAAACGATTGTTCGAGTCGGGGGTATGAATTGCTAATGCATTTCATGCGGACTTGAGCATGGAACGAGGCAACACTGTGACGTGGGATTCGGGAATACTGCGCTTCCACCCTTTTGGCCGACGTCGGACTCCGGTCCTTTTATGCAGCTACGGAAGGCGCAATGTATGAACCTTTCGAGTGATCCCTCTCGAGTTGGCCCGTGAGAGTACATTGCCATCAAGGGGCGATGGAAGATGGAAGTAAAAGTAGGCGGCAGGACCAACCAACAGCTGACTGCCAACAGCGGTGTGACGTTTGCCAAGCTCAACAGCTCATACAAGCTGACGAAGTGTTTGGGCTCAAACAGCCCACAGCGAACCTCAACGAACCAAAAAAATACATTTACAAATTTGTACATAATCAGCCTTATACCCACACGATGATGGTGGACATTTCTCCAAACAATAATATATAATATCCTTATCATCCACTTACATTATTGCGAAATGGTAAATTCGATTTTGTCCAGACTGTCTCGCGCGTTTGAAATCGAAGGCCGCAACCGCGCCAGAGGGAGGGTGTGGGAGATGACCAACAAGTGCTTGCATGGGAAATTCTCTGTGCTCTCTCCCTCCTGTGAGATGGCGGCCGATACATGGGTAACGGACACTGGAAGCAGTAGGCTAGCGCCGATTACTGCTGTACTGTAGACACGGCCCGAAAACTTAATGGTAAATAACAACCGGGTCCATCGCAACCCCCTGCCGAATACGATCGACGACATTCATAGTATATTTGTTTGTGCTGCTGTAAATTCCACCCCAATGGCCGGACAAAGGCGGCGTGGTATGTGCGAAGACCCTACCAATAGTAATGAGGACCGCAACTAACAACGACAAGAGAGAGGTATGTATGCTGTAGGGGGAGAAAAATCACATCTATTAATAACAGCGTTCATCAAGGCTGGTTAGGGGTTCGGGGGGAGCGGTAGACCTGGGGGAAGGATATCCGAGAAGCGCATTTCGTCTCCCCGACAATCCAGGCAACCACACTAAAATGCAATAGCCGGGCTCGAAGGTACACAGAGAATGGATGTTCGATTCACTGGGGAAGAGGGGGGAATGAATGTTAGATTCAATGAAAATTATTTTGCGAAATGGTGGCTCCGCCTGCATGTGCCTATTGAAAGACGCCTACTTTTATCATGTGCACACATACGTAATGGAAGCGAACTAATATTGTGAGGCGGTATTAAGTGGGCATGGTGAAGATGACCTTTGTGTCATTCAAACGCCACGTGTGTGTGTGTGTGGTAATGACAGAGGAGGAGGTTTGATGTTTTTCGTCGTTTTCATCGACAGCAGAGGGTGGTTGCTGCGTGGGAAGACATTACTGAAATTTGATATGCGCGCAGTAGCGGAATCGCTTGGTCCAGGTTAACGGTCGGAAATGATGTTGATCGCGGGTGTTCACCTATCGATGCACACGAGATGACTACAGACGACAGGTCCAAGCATGTGTGGTTGATTGAGACGCGCCACCCACACGAAAGGAAATCGATACAACAGCAGTAGTACATCATCACAGCGCAATATTAATATTGTCAGTGTTTTCCTTTTTTACCACCCCGCGTCTCTCCCTCTCTAATACACTCTCTACTGATCTTCGTGCCTTGCGTACTTCATATTACAACATGTAGCACGTGCCGCGCCGTGTGGTCTTGTGTGTGAAAAAGGACGGTGAACAGAAGATGGCACATAGATATCTTCTTGGGGGGTTGATATTGGAGGTGGGACTTTTCTACATTCATCCGCGTGCCCCCCCTGAAAGTGACACCGCATGATGATGATGCTCGTCGACTCGAGGATGCTGACAGCAGCATCAGTCACAACACCAAAGCCGGCCCAGGGACCTGGCAAACCAAGCCTTCACCCTCACGTGACACCGGTCGAACTCGCTGTCGCTTGTCCCGTTTGTTCACCAAGCAAAGCGGTCTTGGTGCCATCCCCAAGGGAAGGACGCACAACATTGCGCTTGACACGGTTTTTTCGCTGCTGAAAGCGTGAGCAGAGACACAAGGAGGTTGCTTTCGTTACGCGTGAAATCAATCTACTAGGGGAGAGCGCATGGCAGTGGCGTGGGGCAGGCAGGGAAACCTAGCTCACCATCTCTCGTCCCAGGCTCAAAGGTGAGATCGTTGGGGTGATTCGTTCAATCGTCAGTCCTCTTTTTTGTAGATGGACTGCAGCAGCTTGGGAAAAAAACGCTCCTTGTAAGACCAGGCTACATGAACACGTAAGGTGCCATCTTCGTAGATGAATGTAGTGTATGCATAGAGCAATACCAAGCCGGCGCTGGTCCGAAACGCAAATAGCAGTGCCTTGGCACTTCCCTTGCACCACCTCTTGGTTACCATGAAATATTTTTCAAGCAGGCTTTGGGCGTATGAGGAGTCCCCGTGAGCGTCATAACACCTGATTGCGAGCTTGCTGGTTTCTCGTGCGACTGCTGCTGCTGTTGTTGTTGTGGGGAGACCAACAAGCGTCGCGGTGCGGGCAGACCTCGTACACACTGTTGTACTGGCTTTCGCGTGCCTCTCCAACGACTGCAGCGGTTGATTCCATCGTGCGATATCCACAATTTGGTGCACTAGTCTCGCTTTCGTGGACTAGTCCCGTGTAAAGTTTGAAACCTGCTACATAGTAGTCTCTTTGTAATGCGTACAGAAGGTGTTGGTACCCAAATCCTGCTCTGTGTACACTGCTGCTGCTCTGCTGCACTTGTTCTCACGGACCCGCGGCCTGACTGCAGCTTGCTGTTTCTCGTGCTCGACTCTGTGTTGGGGGACACGCGTCAAGTGCGGGAGCGGGAAGACCTCACCGCTTCGACATTGTTTTCGGGAGTTGTTGCTTGTTGTCTTCACTGCAGTGTAGCTCTTTATCATGACTCATCTGACCACCGCTGCTATACCAACGTAGTTTGATTCCATCAGATGCACATCTTTGGTGCAAAACATGTGGGCTATACCTAGTAGCATGGCCCGAAACAGGAACCGAGAACCCCTGCCTCCACCAACACTAGAGCTTCTTACAAGTACGGGCGCTATCTGCGTTATGTTGTCACTTTGGTGAACCTAACCTCGTGTACAGTAACTTGGGTTTGCTAGTTTCTCCGGGGGCTAGGGTTTCTATGCGTACATGCGGAAGCACGCGTGTGTAGACTTGGTATCGACAAATTCGTTGCTGTAGGCACTAACGGCCAGCGCTGACAGGCACAGCTGCGCCAGTACATGATCCCTTTGTGGAGAGTGGTGTGTAGGTAGGCAAGCTTGAAGTTAGTTTTCTTCTTTAGGGATTGCGGGCGCCATGTATGATGTGGAGCGTTTTGAACATTGACCCCCGCTTGCTTCTCAGACAGGCTTCTCAGACAGAGGTGTAGTGAGAGAGCATGCTGCAGGTAGAAAGTTGGCGACCATGAAAGTCATGCACCGCTGCTCATCAAGCACCCCCACGTTCATGAAAGCAGTGTACCTTAATAGGAGCCCTAAAGGCATGCCGCACTAGCCACACCACCATTTGAAATCCAGGGGCTCATGAGGGCAGTGCGTGAGTAGAGCCCCCGTCCGCTTAACCCCATGTCAAATTTCGTTGGTAGACCACCACGCCACAATGACATTCAATACCTGCCCCGTCCCCTGTGGGAACAATGCTCCGTCCTCTCGAGGATAATGGCTAACCGCAGCTAAGGCATGCAAAACATGAGTACCCCGCGTCCCGTTTCTTGTCGTGTGGTACATGTAGGCGTTTATCCTCAGCAGCGAGAAGGCGGCGTGCCGGAGGCTTGTTGCTAGGTCGCGGGCACCACGCCGCCGGTGGCCACGCGAATCTATCTTCTCCGTCTGCGTCTGCATCGTCCTTGGGCTGCTTCGCTCCTTCCCCGGCATGCATAAGTACCGCAGCGACCGGCGATGACAGCAGCACCTGGCGCCACAGCGGCGGCAGCAGCAGCAGCAGCAGCAGCAGCAATGCCGGCAGCGGCGGCTGCTTCGTCCGCTGCGAGGCAGGTGTTGCTATCGTCAGCGCGCCCTTGCGGCGCGCTATCAGCGCCCGAGGGCCTACCACGCCGGGATCGGTGGTTGCAGCGGCAAGCAGCGGCAGGCGGGGCAGGCAGCGGGGGGGCGGCGAGACGGAGACCGCAGCTAGCACGGGCGGCCGGTGGCGAGAGTTTGCTTCCGCTAGCAATCCCCCCAAGCAGTATCTCAGGTACATCCACAGGGTCAAGCCTGACGCCGAGGACCCCGCAGCGGGGGGGAGTACTCCGGTGAGCATGCAATTCACGGTGCCCCTTTATGCATGGTATGAATTTGTATGGTACTGTTTGGAATGGTACAAGTTTTGCGGGGAGGGCCATGGTTGCTTGCAGCGAGCACCCATCATCAAGTTATGTGCCTGAATTTGCTGTGGAGGGCGGAAGGTTCTGGCGGCCAGTTTTTGTCATGTTTGGTTTTAGCGAAGGGAGACGAGGGGGGGGGTCGAAAAGGGGTGCCCAGAAGCTTGCGGATATCCATAGGATGTTTTCTAGACAAAAGCTCCGAGCATCGGCAGCATGGAAATTGGCGTATTTCGGGATATTCGCAAGATGTTTCGTAGACACGCTCCAGGCACCAGGAGCACCAGGCACCAGGAGCATGGCAGACGCTCTTGTGTGATAAGCGCACGTAGTAATGTTTTTTTGGGGGGGGGCGAACTCTTATGTTTTGCATGCCTTAGCGGTTTGACCATTGACCACGCGTCCTCGAGAGGACGGAGCATTGTCCCCACAGGGCCGAACGCCGATGGCCAATCGTTCCTTCCTACTTTGCCAAAGGTGGCTCAAAAAGGTCTTCGCTAGTTTGTCTATCCTAACGATATCCCTTCCCGCCTTTTTAAACCACTTCCTACTCCCCAGTACAGCTACCGTCCTCTCCTCTCTATTCCATGCCTCAAACATCTCTCTGTACCCCCTTGTATTTTTCCCAGCTCAGTCATGTACACTTCCCTCTCCTCTTCGTACCACGGACATTCCGCGACTACATGAACACGGTCTTCGCAGTCGAAGCCGCAATTACATTTGAACTTGTCGTCTTCGTCGTCTACCGTCCCATGTCTTCGTCGACGTTCTCGAAGGCCTATGTCCCCGGTCCTGAATTTGACCTTAAGATTTGTCCCTGCATCCATTGGTCCATGTAGGGAATCCTTGAACCCTATTCCTTCTTTCAACATTCCGTACACTTCTTTGCCCTCCTTATCGTCGGTTTCTTTCCTTAGATTCTGTTCTTCTCTCTCGGCACAAGCAAACAGATATATTCTCCTTGAACCCCTGTAGACCCTCCGTTGCCAGCGTTTCATCTTTGTCGATGTCGAACCCCTTCCATGCGTCCTCTACAACCTTGACCCATTCCGTGGGTTGTCTACCCCTATTTTTGTTTGCCCACTTCGCCTCCCATACTATTCTCGGTAACCTCTCCTCTCCCATCCCGCACATGCGATACTGCCATGTCAGCTTCCTTACGTCTCTTCCCGACCGTAGGGATTGGATTCCCAATTCTGCCCTGACGGCTGCATTACTTGTGCGCGTGGAGCATCCTAGGATGATTTTCGCTGCTTTCATCTGCGCCGCCTCGAGTTCTTTCACCACCTTCTTTTTTCGTTCACATACTTCTCCGGCAGCGGCGGTACGATAACGCTCTTCAAAACCGTCATTTTGATGCGTGTATCGAGGTGCCGGTTTGCGAGTATTGGGTGCAGCTTCCCTGCTCGTGCTTTGCCCTTTTCCGCTACCTTGGACATGTGTGCATTCCACGAGCAGTCTTTTGCGATCTCTACTCCGAGGTATGTGTACTAGTCCACTACTGCAATCTCCTCGATCCCCCACTTCCATCTATATTCTACTGGTTCCTCCCTGTCCTCGTTGCATACCATGACGGCCCTCTTCTTAACGTTGGCAGACAATCTCCACTTATCAGTAAACTTTTTTTTAGGGGGGGGGTTATTGCGTCGGGGATGGTGCGAGGACCCCGGCCAAGCGTCGTTGGCGGCGGTTGAATAAATGGAAAAGACGCTGATTGGTGCAGAGATTGCCCCGAGTGCTGTCGTCTGTGACGTCGAGAACGAGCGATCGGTACAGGAGGGTAAGGGCGGCGGGCGATTGTGCCACTTGCCCGGTGAGACGACCAACCTGAGGAGAGGGTCATGTATCAGTGCCGGCTGAGGGAGACAAGTCTTCGTCGGGATTGGACAGACGGGGCTCAGTGGGCACGCGGGGGTGATGGGGGTGGGGGGTGCATTTCCTCGTTGTGCACGCGGGGCCCCGCAGATG